AACCTCTCGTCTCATTCCATGATATCTATGGGGGGCCTTTGAGTACCTTTGCAACCACTTAGGGTCCAACATGCAGTGCTTGTTCATCATTATTTTTTGGTTTTTATGTTCTGAAGTTATCTGTGTTGTCCAGAGCAAAGTCGAGCAAAGTCATTTTCCAAATTATCGGTGGATATATTCAACGGCCATTGCTTCATGTGTTAAGCTGTGGTTTTCTAAATCCTACATGAGAATATTTGATGATTCAATACTAAATTATCATTTCATTGTTCAACTCGACTTGGCTTTGCTCCTTTGAGACTTTCCCAAGAGGAGCGTCCGCTAAGTCTCTCAATCAAATTTGAACCGTCCAGATTAATATTTTATTTTTTATTTTTAGTAAAATAAAAAATTATAAATTTTTTTAAAAAAATCTCGTTATCAACCTTGACACCCTGCATTTAATATTAATGGTTCAAATTTAATATTTAATTTTTTATAATTTTTATAAATTGATTATTCAAGTGTACAATTTGATATAAAATATTTAACTTGTAATTTTTAAAATATTTTTCCAAAGATGCTTTTTAATAGATATTTGCACTATCTAAAGGATATCTAGATAATTAATTTATAAAAAATTTTAACATTAAATATTTTTTAAAAATTCTTTTTAATAGATATTTACACTGTCCAAAGGATATATGGATAATCAATTTATAAAAATTTTTAATATTAAAATTAAACTATTTATATTAAATCTGCATTGTTTAGAGTATATCTGTTTGAATAACTAATTTATAAAAATTTAAATATTAAATTTGGATAATTAATATTAAATTTAGATTGTCCAAATGGATAACAAGATTTTTAAAAAAATTTCTAATTTTTCTAATTTTTTATTTTAATAAAAATAAAAAAATAATTGGTTGGGGGGTTCAGCGGACGCTCCTCACTGCTCTTCACGGGATAACGCCTGGCTTGGGTTTTCTATGTTAATTTGTACCTTTTTTTTTTTGGGTTTGGTTTGTTGTAACTTGTTTCTTGTGTCTATTTTTATCTAAGGAATGGAGAAAGAACGGAAAGATAAATATGAAACAAGGTACAATCACAACCTAAAACCAGAGAAAATAAACATAAAAAAAGAAGAAAAATCGAAGCCAAGCAACATGAAACACTTCTAGATTTATTGGGATATCCACTCACACACACAAGGAGGTCACGTGCTTCACAACACTTTTGGAGACTTTTCACCATTTTTCATGGAAGAAAATGAAGTCATTGAGGTGTGAATGTTATATTCAAGCAATATACAATTGGAGATGTCCTGCCAAAATAATAGAGGAATTGTAGAAGAACAAAAAATCAGTGTGTAGCTAAAAAAAAGCATATCAAAAAATCACTCTACACTTACTTTCTCTGTCCCTTAACTCTACTATCCCTTTCTCCCAAATTTTTTGCCCATTCTTTTCCCTTTCTCAAATTTTCTAGCCCCATGCCTTTTCCTTCTCCCTCTTGTGGCCTATTCTCACCCTTTTTATAAGCACAACTAGGGTTTCTGTTCATTAACGGCCTAATGAAGGCTTGATCCCCTCAAATTAAAATCCTATTTTGACTTTTTCTCCATTATTTTAGATTTTTGAAATTTATATTAAAGGCATTTAATTTGATAAAAAAATGAGGGAATTTGAGAGTCAATAAAAAGGAAAAAAATGTTTTTAAAGTTGTGAAGATATTATTTTATTTTTAAATTTTTTACAAAACCCCATTTTTCTTTTTTATTTAATTTATTTAATTTCATTAGGATTTTTAATTTTTTTTCAATTTATATTTGGAAACCTTGACAAAATATGGTATTCATAACAGGCACAATGGACACATGAGAAAATTATATGAATGGAATATGTAAATGTTGCTTAATTTCAAAGTTTTAGTTCTTTGGCTGGGAAAGCTTATAAAATGCATACTACCTGAACATTTCTTAATCTCAAAAAATAATAAGCACCACAAGATCAAGCATCCCAATCAACAAAGGGTTACGTTGTTCTTGATGAGATGAATAACTTTTCTGAAGAGTATTTTAAGATTTGGGTGGTTTAGTGAGAGATTTACCTTGTTTTTGTTTCTCTCTCTAAACCTATCTTACATTCTGGATGAAAAGCTTAGAAATTCTCTTTTCCCTCTCCTTTGGTTTGGCTAAAATGAGGAAGATGAATTAATTATGTATAACAGTGTTTAAGTGGTAAAGTTAATGGAATTGGAATATTTTCTCAAATCTATCAATCACAATTTTCACTTGTCACATTTTTTTCCTTAATTCCAAAAAATTGTTAACTAACCTGTGGCTAAAGATACATGAATTTTCTTCTCCCAATCAGGTCCAAAAGTGACGCCACCCTCCTTCCAAATGGGCTCAAATTGGGCTCCTAATAATATGAACTCTAGATATAGGAAATTGATATTATCCTAACCTAATACATTATAAAATTTCATAATTAATTATCTGAGAAATTAATTAAACAATAAAATTGATATACTTATTTTAAATATTTCTTCCTTTCATATACTAATTTGCCTCTCAAATAATTGTGGATCAATTTGGAAGAATTCAACCTTTTCTTGGCCAAAAATAATGTAACTTATAATTCAATTTCCTTGAGGAGTAACTTTATCTATTAATTTATTCAAATCCTCAAATAATTAGTTCCCATAATTATTGAATTATATAAGGCTTTTATATAATTTTTAAACCATAAAATTTTGGCTCAACATAAAATTATAAGTCAAAATAAGCTTTTTAACTCAATTTATTTTTCTCGAGGTATTTTCATCTTTAATGCTCTTTAGGAATTAACAAATTACTTTAAAACACCCATTTTTCCTGAATTTTATGTAATTTCCTTAAATTTTTGGATAAATTTATAATAATTACATTTAAAGATCCAAAACTTTCAAAAATTATATTTTGACTCCAATTGGACTTTATATTTCCACTTAACGTGTCTTCCTGCTCACTTCTAATTTTGAATACTTTTTCATAACCTCATTATATTTATTTATACATAATTACCCTTAAATATTAATAATAATCTTTTGGAACCGAATACACTATTACTTTACTTGTTTTTTTTTTCTTTCCTTTCTTAACCTTGATAGTAGTTAAGCTATCTAAAAAAAAGTTAAGGATACTTTTTTTTTTGTAATAGTTAGCAAAATTTAAGATGTCTTTATATTTTAAACTCATTTTAGGCCATCGTTTTCTAAAAAACAATCGTATATTCTATGGTTTAGTAACTCTCTACTAGGTCTACTGCAACCATGAGCTCTAATTAAGATCTCATTGATCCCTCTTTGGATCTATTATGATTTATAAAATCTAACTACAATCCTTCTATTGGAGACATAGGATGTAAGAATAAAGTTATCAAATAACTTTACTTCTATTTAACTTGGTAACTGTATTGATTATTCTCTAAGACTGATTTTAGATACTTCTATTATCCTCTTAAGCATTATATATTCCTTTTAGCCTCTCATAAAAACTTTTGTATTTTAACTTGCTTATTTCTTAATTTTAAACATTCATATGAAATCTCTGAAAATATTATGCTTTTACTCTGTAAAAACTTTTAAATTATGATAGGGTTCCTAAGAGTCACTCTATCTTTTCAAAGCACTTTTGAGATTCTTGATTAGTTGGGCTTAATAACTTACTAAATTATGACATATTTTTTAACTTCTAGATCCAAAATTTAGGATGTTAAATGAAAAAAAAAAAAGCACACATTGTTTGGATATCTATAAGGAGGCATGATGTAGAGCCTAGTGTAATGCCATGTTAAAAACATGGGCTTGAGGTATTGAATAATACTTCACATTCTCATTGTGGAGATAATTTGTGATACATTACTCATATGAGATTTTTATTTTTATTTTTTTGCAACGCAAAGTACTCATACAAGATGGGCTTGTCCTATAAATATAGCCCACGAAACAATAAGCCGAAAAAAAAAAAGAACAATAACCAAGAAACAAGATAGAAAGAAATACAATGAGCGCAATTAACCGGGAATATAACCGGCCCAGTTTATTTGTCCTATAAGCTAATGGTTTATACAAATATTATGAATTCAAATTTTATTGTTAATATAAACTTTGTTGGTAGCCAATTCATAAATACTTTTGTAAGTATTTTTTTTCAATCTGAAACATTCTCTGATCCTAATGAATCATTGAAATACAATTCACCTAAACTTTTATTTATTAAAAAATACTCCTCAAATTTTATTTATAAAACAGAGAAAATGCTTATTTTAATCTTATTTATAAGATAAACCAATGATTATCATATTTATTTTTACTATTTCATTCATATTAAATATAAGGAAGTTTATTGAATATTAAAGCATTTTATTTTAAAATATGTATATTTAATAGGATAAAATAAAAAATTTATTAAATTTTTAAATATAAGTAATAATATTTAATTTTTTTTAATTTGGATAAATATGTTGGAATTAAATAATAAATAGAATGGAAATATTGACCAACAAATTCGCAAGTTTTGTTTTCAGATGCCACTCTCGAACTCGCGTTTAGTAGTTTGAAACAAAGCAACAAACCACGTTGGAACAAAGTAGCTGCTACAAATTCGCAAGTTCAAGAAGTAGCGTCCAGACCTTGTTGTGTAAAAACTGTAAACCGTACAGAAACAAAACAACAGGCGAAGGTGGGAAAGTCATGGATATGTTCCTCATAAAGAAATTATTCAACCCAACCCCACTCCCCTTGACCCTAAAATTAACCCATATCAGTAGTAATTCCCAGGTGCAGACCCAGTCAAAAGCAAAACACGACGTCGTACTTGCATTCAAAAGAAAAGCTAACTATATCTGCCCATGACTCTGTCCGCCTTCCACGTCGTTCTTTTCAATCAGACTCTGTTCTCTGTCTTTTTATTATTGTTATTATATATATATATATTTTCACATTCTTCTTCTTCTTCTGCCTTATCCCCACTCCCTCTCCAAATTTCAAACTTCAAACTTGTACACACTTGTCTCTTCACTTTTCGAACAGAAACCGCGTTTTCTTTCTTTCAACTCTGTCATTTTCCCCATTTCTCTATCCGATTTCCCCATCCTGAACCATCATAGAAGCTACCTTCTTCGTCTTCGTTTGCTTCTTCTTCTTCAAAACCCCATGTTTTGAAAGTCAAGTTATGGTTTTGGTAGCTAGCTAGGAGGAAGTTGTTGAGTGAGCGAGCTTACCCACATGGCTGAAAGCGGTGAGGAGAAGTTATTGGCAATGGCGCGCCACATAGCAAAGACGTTGGCTCAAGATAACAGCATGGCTGATGATATTCTGAAAATATTCTCTAACTTCGATGGAAGATTCTCCCGGGAGAAGTTGTCGGAGATAAGCGGCAGAGATCATCGTCGAGGCTATGCTTCTCTTGAAAATACCCTCAGCTCTCTAGATCGTCGGATCTCACACTATGTTTCATTCGATCAGCCGATCTGGGCTGACTCAGCTGACGCTGCTGCCTTTCTCGAGGCCATCGACGAGTTGATTGCTACACTCGGCGAGTGGAGCCCCATGGCGGCGGATGAGACTGTTGGTGAGTTCTTGGTACGCGCCGATGACATGCTTCAGCAGGCCATGTTTCGTGCAGAGGACGAATTCAGATCTCTGATTGAAAGCGGAGGCGAGTCGTTTGACTTGACTCGGGCAGACTGGAAAAATGAGTCAACTCGCAACCTGCCTTCTGACTCGGAGGAGGACGAAGATGCTGAAGTCGAAGCGATTTTAAGAAACGATGACGATGACGATGACCCGATTCCATTGGCCAGGCCGGTGGCTGATTACGACGTCGTAGTTGATGCTCTGCCTTCTGGAACAATCCAGGACCTTCACGAAATAGCGAAACGCATGGCGGCTGCTGGGTTTGGGAAGGAGTGCGCTCACGTGTATAGCAGCTGCCGAAGAGAATTTGTAGAGGAGAGCTTGTCCCGATTAGGGTTACAGAAGCTAAGCATTGAAGACGTTCACAAGATGCCATGGCAGGAGCTCGAAGATGAGATTGCAAGATGGATTAAAGCTTCCAATGTTTGTCTTCGGATTCTATTTCCCAGTGAACAACGAATCTGCAATCGCGTCTTCTTCGGGTTCTCATCTGCTTCTGATATCTCTTTTATGGAGATTTGCCGAGGATCAACACTTCAGCTACTCAATTTCGCTGACGCCATCGCAATCGGGAGCCGGTCACCAGAGCGTTTATTCAGAATCTTGGACGTGTTTGAGACCCTGAGGGACCTGATTCCCGAATTCGAATCCTTGTTCTCTGATGAGTACTCTGTGTTTTTGAGAAACGAAGCAATCACTATCTGGAACAGATTAGGTGAAGCAATTAGAGGCATTTTCATGGAACTGGAGAACCTGATCCGTCGTGACCCAGCAAAAGCAGCAGTTCCTGGTGGTGGGCTTCACCCAATTACCCGCTATGTGATGAACTACCTCCGAGCAGCATGTCGTTCTCGCCAGACCCTCGAGCAGGTTTTTGAAGACAATGGGCCACCACTGAAAGACTACACGAAGCTTGACGAAAACAATGCAGCAACATCTTCACTTTCTGTGCAAATGGCATGGATCATGGAATTATTAGAGAGTAATTTGGAAGCCAAATCCAAAATTTACAAAGAGCCAGGATTGTGCTCTGTTTTCATGATGAACAATGGGAGGTACATAGTTCAGAAGGCTAGAGATACTGAACTCGGAACCCTTCTAGGTGATGACTGGATCCGAAAACACACGGCGAAGGTCCGGCAACACCATGTAAGCTATCAAAGAAGCTCATGGAGCAAGGTCCTGGGTTTGTTGAAACTAGAAAGTGGATCATTATCGTCTAATATAGTTGTAAAATCTATGAAGGAGAAGATCAAATATTTCAACATGCAGTTTGAAGATATATGCAGGGTTCAATCTTCATGGATTATCTATGATGATCAACTTAGAGAAGAGATAAGAATTGCTCTGGAAAGAATACTGCTTCCTGCGTATGGGAACTTCATTAACAGGTTTGAGAATATTGCAGAACTTGGGAAGCATCCTGAGAAGTATATCAAGTATGGCGTGGAGGACATTGAAGCTAAGCTTCAGGATCTATTTAACGGAAAGTGTGGATCAGCTGGTAGCCGAAGGGGAAGATAACCTTTATGCACCCCACGTGGGCGGGAAAAAGAAGTTACTTTATTGTTGTGTATATGTAAAAAGTTACAGTGCGTGATAGAAAAAGTTTTTGATTATCATAGCTCAAACAGTGCTGCCACAGAAATGAAGGATTTGGGGTCCTGAAATGTATTATGCATACAATATTGTAGGATTGGAATTTTTTTTCTTGGGTCAGCATCCCTTTTTGGGGAGAATAATTTTTGTAAAAACATACCAAGTTATCTTATGAAACATAATAAAGTGGACTTCATCTGAGATTATAATTTACATGAGAAAGCTCATCCCTCTAAACTTGAATATCCTGTACTATTTTCTTGACTCTGTTTACATCTATCACTATCCTCGGATCCCACAATTCAGCAACTCATTGATGTCGATGAGTTCTTTGGTGAGTTGACTAAGTCCAATTGTTTATTGTTTTGAATTTCATCAACGAGAAAAGTTTTCAAAGGTTGGCTTCCAGAGTTTCAGACGATGAGTTTCTAATTTAGTGATGGTTGGATGCTTGTTATTGATCCTGTTCTTTTGTCACGGCGGATGTAGTAATGGTTATGATCTGTTAGCTTTCTTTCTCTCCTTTTACTGGAAGGATGAAATGGATATGTTTAATTTTTGTTTCTTTTTTTCGTTTCTTTTTTTAAAATTTGTTTTAATGTTAATTGCTTGTCAGAATCTCAAGTTATCTGGTCATTCTGGTATTGGCACGGCATCAGCAAATCCTCCTGTTTCATCAGCTAAGCCTTTGTAGGCAAATAGTGCAGAATAGTTGGGTCTTAATTTTCAAATTTGCATAGTTGATCTAATGTATTCATATTTCATATTATGCTAGAGTTTGAATGATTGTGCACTTGCATGTGCAAGTTCATTTTGTAGTTGCTGCGCAGGAATATGGCAAGTGGAACTGGCATGAGGCCTGTAGACATTGTCACAGTTTCTGAAGGATAGACCATGGAGGTGAAGATTTACTTGGTTCATGATTTATTTATCTATCATCTAACTTATCATAAAGTATTGAATCAGGAATCTGTGGATTCTGATTAAGATCTTATTATTTCATCGCAATCTTGTGACCTGAACCTAGTTTCATGTAAGGCTTAAATCTATTCACTTTGTTGTTAGAAAATTAGCATTTTCGTAATTTTTGTTATTGCAGAATTATTTAAAGCAATTAAAATAACCAGTGGCTGTTTTTATTTGGATAAATGTATCATTTATTTGCATTTGCAATTGCAAATTTTCCCTGTATCATTTATTTGCATTTTGCAATTGCAAATTTTTGATACCATGCTATGATGCATGATGTAACAAGGTGTGATTTAAGTGCAGTTATAGAACCTGCATTAAGAACTGTATGTTGCTAAACTATTTTCATTTTACAGTGATTTGTGACATCTACTGGAAAAACTAAGAGTTACCTTTCAATTTGAGAATCTCAAGAAAAAGGGATATTGGTTTCCTTTGATGGTATGCTACAGTTCATCCTAATTGTGATCTCCCTCTGTTTCCTAGCTTGACTGATTTTATTTAAGTTCCATCTTTTCGGATGCAGTTTAGAAATACTAATCAGCTGTTAGATATGGAGTTTCCCCCCTCCTAGGTGAAAAAAAAGTCTAGGTGAGATGGGTCCGAAAACTCACCAGGACCAAGGCATGCAAAATGAGTGCTTTTTTTTTTTTCACTTCACATCTACAAGTTTCTTTTTCTTTCTTCTTTTTTTTTTTTAATTTTTATTTTGTTTTGACCAGCCATATATTCATGTTTCATTATGAATATTATGGTGGATTTTCATGAAGGCATCATAATATCAGAACGAAAATGATTTTCTTGCAGAAGTTAGGAGAGCAATTGTGTCTGATCTGTACCTCTAAGGCTCTAATAGAGAAACTTATCATGTGATATTAGGTTGAGAGTGGTTTTTTGTCATCAAGTGCTTGTTCGATAGGGATGATCATTTGACATAAGTGGATGATGCAATTATTCAATTACCATAAATAGTTTGTTTATAACAGATTTAGATCCGGTGGAGTCCATTCACTCAATGAGTGTCTCACGTGGCATAATAACAATAAACCAAACGGCTATGAGAAATTTTGTTATACAATATTTAGAGAGTACTAAATTTTAAATTTTTAGAAAGGGACAATATATGTGAGGAGTGCTTTGATCATAAGGATTATTTTCATTGTTTAAAAAGAAATGTATATTGATAACTTTTAAGTATTGATAAAACCTAACAGTTGTAATTGAGACACTCATTTAGTGAGTGAACTTAGATCACTTACCCAATCCAAGTTCATTTTGAATAGTTATTTGTTTCAAGACTTTCAGTGTTTTTCCTTTTCTGCTTTATTTTTTCCTTATGGGTCCCTGCATCATTGAAGTTATTCTCAACTCTGATGTTCTTTTCCCGAGATGTTGGGATGAAGATTTGCTTTATTGAGACATGATTTTTCCGATCAATCTTCCTGTATTTGAGTTACAACTCTGATATGATTGTTTTGGTACATCAATTCTACTATCAATCTATTGGGAATTCTGACATATATTTGATGACTCACATTCTTCTCTTGTGTTCACTTACCTTCTAATATGTTTAACTGTGCAGCTATGCCTTTAGTATATGTCACTGAAACATATTGTGCTTTCCAATTTTTTAGATTGTTTGGTTCCTGATTTGGTCTCTTTATGTTCGCTTATATTCTGTCATGTTAATGCATGGTGATAGAAATGCTTATATTTTCTGTCATAGATTTGCTTGTGTTGAAAATATGAGATTAGTGCTTACGCGGCATTGAATTATATTTGTCCTGTCTTCTCAAAGTTTGAAAAACTATGACGTGAAATTAATTTTTGGCTCCTTGTAGGATCTAATGGGGTTAGAAGCTTTATCGAATTACAGGCATGCAAATATTAACGAGTGTTAAAGAATGCATGGGAACTCATATTAGAAGATTTGCTCTTGAAATTGATACTTTTGAACTATTGCAATGTATTTAGGGGAGGCATATATTTGGCTCGTTTAAGTGTAAATTATGTGCTTCAAATGTTTCATTTACCACATGGATGATAGAAAGATGAACTAAGAGCGTAACAAAGAAGTCCTGTTGAGAGGAACTCGATTTGCTGCCTTTAATTACTTATGGTTACTTGTCAATATTATAATCCATATTTGTTGCAACAAAACCAATAGCTATGAAAAATTAAATCAGGTCTATCAAGTTTTTTAACTCGTTCATTATCAAATTATCATTTGTTAATTATTTATGATTATTTGTCAATATGCCTGTGTTGTAACAAGACCAAACTACCTGGTTTGATTTTTCATAGGTATTGGTCTTGTTGCAACATGTATGCATTCATATATTGACAAGTAACTATAAGTAATTAACAAACAACAATTGTTTCAAATTATCTCAAGAGTGATGAGCACGTGTATGATGAGCACTGAATGTGCTCTCGTATTTACAAAGGGTTAAGACAAGATAAGATGTATGTTATGGATAAAAAATGTTTGGTTAATCAAGACAAATAAATGTCTTTCTAATAAATCCATCTGAATCAATCTAAATTGATCTAAACCCACAAGCAAATGCATTTGGAGAGAAATTTGGAAGCCAAATCCAAAATCTACAAAGGCCCTGGGATTGTGCTCTGTTTTCATGATGAACGACGGTAAATACTCCCTATAAAAACACACCAAGTTATCTGAAAGTAGACTTGATTATGAGATTCTTCATAAACTCACACATCTAAGCTTGAATATCTTATTCTGTTTTCTTGACTCTACTAATAGCTGTTAGTATCTAGCAAAACATCGAATGAAAAGATACAAACTAGACTAATTGATTCTCTACTTTTTTTTTTTTTTTCCTTGGCTCTGTTAACATCAGTCAGTATCCTCAAATCTCACATTTCAGCATCTCATACTGATATTGACGAGTTCTCCGGCGAGTCGACGAGATCGAGTCGTTCCTCGTCACGAGTCTCCAATGGTTGATATGGGGTTTCATCAGAGAGCAAAGCTTTCAATAAAGGTTGGTTTGCATAAAGAGTTTCAAACGATGAGTTTCTCTCTATTGTAACCCTAGGCTTATGATGGTTATGAGTACCGTTATAAACTGCCTCAGTAACTTTCCCATCCAAATGCCTCTCAATTCTCTTCCTTATAGGGCAACTTGGGATTGAGCATTTGTAGAAACTCATTTGCTTTTCACTTCCTTTCACTTGTTTGACTTCGTATTTCTTCCATTTGTACCCATCATCATCAGATCTTCTTCTTAGTAGTGTTTGTGATTGATGATCACTACTGTTATCAGTTTCTCTTACGGTAGTATCAATTTCCAGTACTAACTGTGACTGAGATTGGTCTTGTTCATGAGCTTGAATGGCTCTTGTTTGTGATTCAGTACTAGAACGACGAGATCGAAGAACAATGATGAAATAGCAAAAAATGGCAGCTATGAAGCCCAGCATCAAGTGGACTTTCATCATTTGTACAGTGAGACAACCTAGGAAAAAATTCAGAAGATCGCCTTCGAATCCGAGGTTGGTCTGTTTTGATAAGCTCAAGGACATTAAAGCAAAGGAAGCACATGAAATCAAGCTGAATAGGTCTGGTTTTTTTCCTTTGACAGCTTTGTCGTAGAAGAAAGAGTAGAAAGTAGTGAGCATCAGAACCAAGAAACCTAAATGAACTTTGAGCAAGAAACTTCTTGAGAGTCTGCGTTTCTTGGGAAATAAGAACAAGCTGGTTATGGATAGACTTACCACACTGTAAATTATGAGCTTGAAGAAGTTCCAGTCACCAAATAGTTGGTGGAAAGAGGAACTCAGAGCATAACAGAGAAGACCCACAAGGCTTGAAAAGAAACCCAGAAATCTCCATAGCTGAGGATGAATTAGGCGGGTGGGAATTGCCATTTGATTGAGTTGACTTGGGTTCCCTCCACGCATTAGGATGAAAAGAGTTATGAAAAGGGTTCTTGAAAAAGGAGGTCATGGGTTTTATGATTTAACGGTTAGACCAATAGTAAAAAACATAATAATTAAATAAAAAAATATTTACATATATATACATATATATATATATATATATATATATAATATTTTGGGGTTTAGGATTATTCAATCATAATATATTACATTTTGATTTTTCTCTTTTTTTTTCACATGTATATATTTTATTTATCATATTTGTTCTTTTAAAGCAAATAAATTTTTAATTTTTTCTACACTTTCATTGATATAATGTAAATAAATAAATAAATTATGCATTCAAGATTTTACTATAACAACCCATAAGTAAGTTGATATTAATATTTTTAAACTAAATAAAAAAATTTATTATTAAAATAAGAGGAAGAAAAGGGGAAAAAAAGCTCAAAACTGTCTAATTATTCTGGTGCAATGAATAAAAAAGTTAATTTTTATAACATGAAAAATAAAAAAAAGTTGCTCAAAGAATTAAGGTGATAGCATATGAATAAAGATTTGAGGTTGTAAATTGTTTAGTGGGATATAAGAAATTTGTAGAATGCCAAGTTAATTTTTTTTTTTAAATTTTTGAATGGTGGGGACAACAGAAATATTTTCAAGGGAGCATTTAAAATATTTCAAGATCGTCTTATACACTCTTTCTATTTTAAATTATGAAATATTTTTAAATAAAATTTTATATACTAATAACCTTCGTTAAATACACTTACCAACCCTATTTTTTCAAAGCAAAAATGAAAACTTTTAAAAATATTTTTTATTTAATAATCTTAAATCTACACCTAATTAGTATTAAATAGAGAGAGAGAATAATATCAAAATAAGTTTATTGATAAAATTTTAATTTTTTAAAAGTATTTTAGATTTTAAAAGAATAAATTTCTCTCAAAAATATATTATAATTTAAAATAGGGGAGTAATTTTTTCTTGGCTTGTGGGAATTATTGGCGCCACAAACTTATACCTAGCGTAAGTCCCTTGTCAAGTTTTCGTCAGCATGGATTTTACTGTGCTGAAGGAAAAATTAATTGTTTGATTTTTGCATAATTCAGCTATAAGTTAATTTTTAAATTTTGATTGATTGTAATTTTTTATTTATAATTTTAATTTAATTATAATTCAATTTTTATAATTTTAAATATTTAAAAAATTAATTTTTATATTTTTTAAAAAACTAAAATTATAAAAATTAAACTTATATTAAAATTTATGATTAATATTTTAAATAACTATATCCTTTTAATTTTTATAAATATTAAAAAGATTAAAATTTTAAAATATTTTTAATTTTTATAATTTTATTTTTAAAATATCAGGATTAATATTTTAAAAAATTAAAAATTTTAAAGATTGAATTATGAGAATTAAAATTTAGAGATTAAGTTAAAATTATAAATGGATTTAAATTTAAGAATTAAATTATAATTGAAACAAAATTAGAGGGACAAAGGTTAGAAAAGAGGAGTGCACGTGGACCCTACAACATGGAGAAAAAATGCTGAATTCTGAACGGAAATGACATAGGTTATGTGACAAACTCACACAAGAGATGAAATTAATTTCAGTGCTCACCTGTAGTTCATCATTTTTAAACTGTTTAGATTTAATTTAAATAGTTTAAATTTAAGGGTTTTTACTTTTATTTTTTTAAAAAAAATTATTTTAATGGATATAGAATTTAAAATAAAAACAATCTCTTAATTGTCAATTTTTTTCAAAAAATAATTTTTTATTTAAAAAACACTAATAGAAAAACTATAAATTTAAACCATGAAACTTTCATCTAAATGATTATAAGCACTCAACGCTCATCTGAGATATTGTTTAGAAATATATTCAAAAAGTTGACATTGCGAAGCGAGAATGAGTGATTCCTAATACTAACCAATAATTACGTGAATTTGACAATAAGAGTTTATTTGAATTGATGGTTTTAAAAATAAGTGTTAATTGTCAACAACCTAAAGGAAAAGGAAACTACCAAATTCTACCTGATGACAACATGAGAGATAAAACAGACAACGAATGGTAATTGTAAAACAAGAATTAAAAAATCAAATCTTCTTAGTAAAAAAACTTTCATGGAGAAATCTACTATCTCTATTTAGTTTTGACTATTAGATTTGAATATTCTCCAGATAAGTTAGGCCCTCTCGCATAGAACACATGGAAATGGAGTTTCAAAACATGATTGGTATGTAAATGGAAGTGGGTCATTTCTTATGAAGGAAGTGGATTTCATGAATATAAAAATAGGAGTGAGTTCTACCAATATAGAATGGAATCAGATTATTTTCTTTTCTTTTTTTTAAAAAATAATATATATTCATAATAAAAAGTACTGTTGTAATTATTGAGTGGGTGTGTCAAAAGAAAAAGTCTCACATTACTTATATGAAAAAAACTCATAGTATATATATGCTAAGGAATAAAAGTGAGTTAATAAAAGGTTTGGAAAAGAAGCAGACTAAAATTCTACCCTTTGTTTGCTACAAGTATGTACAAGCAAAAGATTACATAATAAATGGTAAGGTAATAATCTCAGGAGGAAAGCTAAAAACTGAAAAGAAAAAAAGAAAGAAAAGAAAAGATGAAGAAGAAAGCATCATGAACCACTTGGATGTCCATAAGAGTAAATGAGGAATGAACTGTTGAATATTGTGAATTATTGCATTTTTACTTGCAACATGAAAGTGATTATTTTTTTAAAAAGTGACTTCCCTTGTATCAAACAACTTATTTTTGCAGTTTCACTTTCATTTTCATTTTTTCAATCCCAATTCCATACTACCAAATGGGTAATTAATTTTTTTTCTTTACATATCTTTTTATTGAAGGCCATCATATTCAAAGCATTGCTGGGCACTAAATGTGAGACTCTAGGTACTTCTCTCAATAAAATTTTAAATTTTAAATTTTAATTCATCATATTCTGAGAAACGACATTAATTATTAAGCGCTTGACATTCATTTGTATTTAAAAAACTCATACATGAATCGTGTATTTGGGTCATTCCACCTACCAGTTTTATAATAAGGTGATCCATTATTCTTAGTAGATCACCGGAGGCTCACTCCATTTGACTTGTTAGCCCATTTATTTATTTATTTATTAAATTTTTCGGTAAATGGATACAAATTCTAGCAATTGACTAAACAAAATTCATATATCTACCCCCCCAAAAAAAAAACTTCATATGTAGAACATATGGGCCTTGTAATCTGCTGAACCATCAATCCAAATCACAATTTTTACGGTTAATGAATATAAGTCAAGTCTTTGTTCTTGTTGGAACTCACTAGCCCATTTATGCAGGCCTAAAGATGCAAGCGGAAGGTCCAAAATCCTATTGCCAATTATATGAGATCTGCTATCTTAGGCGAATGAAAAAGAACTCAAGCCACCTGGTGCTTGGATCAACTGATTAGAGGACTGATACTGATTCAACTTAACCAAAGTTTTTGATCTGGATATACTGTAGTGATTAAATTCTTGATAAGAGGTATGTTCTTAAGAAGGTGCCCGTAAGCTATTGATAGGGTTAGTTTGGGTCAAAGACTTGAATACTACAACAAAAGGGTAAAAAAAAAAAAAAAAACTCAACCAATTCAAATTGACATGAATAATAGTGATCAGCGACTATCATCTTTTAAATAAGTTTATAGCTAGAAGGTGTCTATTCTTTGTTTTCAGCATTTTAAGAGAGATATTTTTTTTTTTGTCAAAGACTCGAATTATTGTCTTAATTAGTACTCTATCCATATAATACAAAAGGAAGAAAATTGGAGAACTCATCTATGTTCTTTATTATGAGAGTTGAGAGAGACTGTTGTGGACTTTGATCTCCTAACTAAATATCCTTCCTTTGCTTTTATTTATAAGTTACTTTAGGTATGAATTATTAGAATTACAAAATTTTTAAATCTTATTAACTTTATTTTAAAATTTGATAAGTTTCTACCTCTATCTTTAAAAAAAGACAAATAATTACTTTTAACATTTTTTTCTAGTATTTAATTAAGGCAAAACAAGTAAAAATGAATATAGAAAATAGAGAAGTGTCCTGTAAATATGGCTAAAATTAATCTTCTCTCTCTGTTCTATAAATAGAATTAGAAAAATATTTCCTCCAATCTCTACCATAAGCCGCATTCAACTATTTTACCAAAACCAAGAAATAACAGTTAACTCATTAAATGTATCTTAAAATAAATAAAAAATTAACTTTACTCCTATTACAGGTAGAATCAAGAAAGATACATGATAAACCATAAAATTAAATTTACAATAATGATAAAATTAAAAAAATGTTAATATAAATTATCTATCTTTCATGCAATTTATATTAAGGATAAAATAAATTCTTCTGGTGTCCTGTAATATGGACAAAAGGGCTTATAATCTTCTTGAGAAATGTTTCTTGGATTCAGTGCAGATAACCAAAATATTTTCCTCATCTAAATAAACATGTTGTGATACACACTGATCTACCTCAGACTTTCATGAATTGCACCAATGAATGTGACATGGGAAATGATCAAATGAGGCGTAGCAGAAAGTACATCTAGCAAATTAATCCTAGGAAAAATCACAATGAAGACCTATAGAGGATTTTATTTACTGAGAAGGCCCAAATGATTGTGAAATCATGCTGCAAGATCAAGGGATCAAAGCATAATTATTTTTTAGTATCAAAAGATAAAACTGGCCCTCATTTTTTTTAAAAAAAATCTCCTTCCACTAGAGCTCCGACACTGGTGGTCAAACCACCCCATTGGATAGGCCATTGGAGCTCTAGTGGCGGTGGCAAGACCTTTAGCTAAAGCTCCAATGCCTATCACTAGACCAGTGAGGGAGATATATTAATTTTTTTAAGATGGCCAAAGTAGGGTTTAAACTTATATCATCTTGGCCATTAAAAGAA